ATTCTTTTACATTGGCCTGCGGGCCGACCCGTTTAACCTACCGGTTGGGTGGGTTGAATTAGGATTGTAGAAATTTTGGCCCGTCACTAAATGGGTTGGCCCGACCCAACCCGTGTAAAGCATAACCTATAACCTGTTACGGGTTGGATCAGGTTGGCCTGTTTGACAGCTATAGTTGTGGCCGAAACTGCAAAAAAGAACGATCCAAATACGTATAAACTTAGGAAATTTCTACGGTACATCTTAAAATTAAGAGTGTACCGTACCTCTGCCTTAATTGTTTTGTCATGTAGCTCAATTAGTCGGAGAAAGTACTGCCACAACGGCAGAGAGACATTAAGTTCAAATTCAAGAAATTAATTTGTGGCTAAAATCTCACTTTCTCTTCACCAATATAATTTGTGATAGAAACTTAATTTACATTAGTCCAAATAACTTTTCATCCGATTGGGGAAACCTCAAGAATGAGGTCATCCTTTTTCATGATAATTGTTTTTAATACCAAAGTACTGTTTTTGTTTTTTGACTGCCAATAATCTTTCTTTCTGTACTGCATGCGTATGTATAAGCTCCATCATAAGAAAAGTTGAAAATCGCATTCACATTCTCCATGTCAAAAGAAGCAAAGTAGGACGAGCGATCAGAACACAAGGCGGGAATAAAGCCATAACTCAAGGGGCAACCCCTACGATTGGGATCCAGCTTTGTCCAGCCGTGGTTTCAAATTTGCTATCGGTTTGATTAGAATAAAGGTACGTTGATTTTATGGATGTCTCAGTGAAAATATTGGTGATCGAGTACAATTAAAATTGTCCAAGAGGATTTAGAATTTTAGATATTGTAATCTTTGCTTACACAATATTGGCATTTCAATTCTATCGTAGTATAAAATTATTTGCAGTCATGACTTGAATCAATGTTTAAGAAAGTGAGAATAAAGTGAAAATATATGACCGTAGTTGAATGTTAGTCACAAAATTTTTCAAAAATAGAAATTGGAAGAAATTTTTGAAACATTCTAAAATGACAAAACAGAAATAATTTTATGGAAAGGAAAGAGTATTAGACATTCTTTAAAATAGTACGAGTATATATGAAGAATAATAATAAAATACAATTGTAAGCTTGAAACCATGATTATAAAATCCTAATGAGTTAATTATTACTGCAGCCCATCCGCTTTTACTTTAGCGCTATTAATATGATTTTTTTTCAGTCCATTCCAAATTAAATTTCTGAATCTGCCCTAAAAGTAATCCAATCTATATTCTAATAGTTATTCCGATCCTAGGAGTAGTACTCATTAATTATTGTTCAATAGTTAAAGAAGATGAAATGAGGTGACCGTCGACCCAAACCATGAAGAAAATGGCATGATGGAATAGTCTTTCCATTCGACACATTGAACAATATAACTATTCATCATACATGAATTAGAGTTAGTATGCCAAATTAATTTGTTTTGGATAAAAATTTATGATACCTAAAACTGGCTAAAAGTAAGTTTTAAAAAACATTAAAATGTGAAAATTCATTAATTTCCCTAATTTTACAAATTAGATTCAATTATTTAGTACTCCGTGTTTACCGTTGCGGGCACAGATCTCGAAATAGTATGACTTCAATCCGATACAAAAAAATCTCTGATTGGATGTGGTACCGGGTTATAACCGCAACATAAAGTCCACAATTAATGTTTTCATTCTCACTGCAGAATTATTCTGCAATTCTTTCCACTCTACTAGTCTACTGTAGTGAGGTTGCATAACCTATGACGTACTCCATCATCCATTTGAAATATATATATATACACACACACACACACACATATATGGATATATATATAATGTATAAATACCCTTTTGTCAGCGGAGTATATTATATACTACTCCGTATAGCTTGATAATATATACATGATGGATTCATCATCGGTGAGATTGAAGAGATTTAGTTGCCTAGTCTTAATTGTGACAATGACGATGATCACTACAACCTCGTCGGTGCTAACCATAACGCAAGAGGGGCACGAGAAATGGATGAATTACTATGGGCGTGTGTATGAAGACGAGATGGAGAAGGAGTTTCGGTTCGCAGTATTCAAAGAGAACCTGGAGTTCATTCACGCCTTCAACCGGGAGAAGAAGAACCGGTCTTTTAGGCTCGGCGTCAATGCCTTCGCTGATTTGACTAATCAAGAATTCCGAGCCCTTAGAACCACTGGATACAATAGTAGCCACCGCAATCTTCATCTCAATGATAATAATGATGGTAAGCCTTCTTCCCACGACACCTTTAAATACAGGAATTTCACTGCAATTCCAACGAGCCTCAATTGGAAGAAGAAAGGAGTTGTTACTCCTGTCAAGGATCAAGGCCAATGTGGTACGTCGTATATATATGTGCTGTGTGCAGTCTTATTACTACATACTACATATAATATATATATATATATATATATATATATATATATATATATATATATATATTATATTGTTGGATTTGCTAAGCTAACGGAAGAAGATAAGCTTAATATTTGATCTAAATTAATGCATGCGTATGAACTGAACGTAAGAGAAAAAAGGGAAGCATTCACGTAGTCTTTTTTTTTTTTGTGCTCAAAGCCAACTTAGCTTTGACACACACTTTTCCATTTATAAACTAACATACGTACATGCAGGTAGTTACATCCATAACCCACTAGGCACTTACCCACTACATGTCTACATACGCACAGTACTAACGTAATGCGGAGTACTAAACTAACATACGTATATGGGGTAACATGCATGCCTAACTAATAACATAATGTAATACTAAATGCAACTTAACTAATTGACCCAAATTAGACTAACACTAATGTAACGGCACATACGCACATTAGTACTGCTACAATACATGCACGGTGTCACGCGACGCACACAACTTGGCATGACTCATCCCGCCGTGCACTAACACTCTAGTCTAAAATGCATCAATGACTCCAAATAAACTAAATTAAACATGACAAAATTATAAACAACAAGATTAACTCCAACAATCACCCCCTTAATCTTGTTGTCATTTATTTAGAACTCCTCGTGGACCATCACAACAGTGCCGGCTCGTAGTCGGCGGTCGCGAAGGCGAGATGTGCCTGCTCCTTCCTTGGTGCTGTGCAATCCTTGGAGAAATGCCCATACTCCTGACAGTTATAGCATCGTACCTTACGGATGTCGAATGTACTCTTCTTCTTTCCGGTGCCGCTGCGGTAGCGAGAACGCCACTCCTCCTCTGTGAGTAGCAATTGACCTCCACCGCCATGGTCATTGTTGTCGACGCCGTCGTCCGCATCGCTCCTATCCTCCACCGTTTTGAGTCTTCCCACAAGCTCCTCCATGGACATGGTTTTAAGATCAAGAAGCTGTTCAATTGCAATAGCTACCTGGGTGTACTTGGACGGCACGATCCGAAGAAGTTTCTTCACGACCTTCACCTCCTCGAAGGTCTCACCAAGGGTGCGAATCTTGTTGGCGAGTCCGTTCATGCGCATGGCGAGGTCGTCGATCGTCTCACCGCTCCGCATGCGAACAGAATCAAATTCCTTGAGTAGAGTTTGTGCCTTGGCCTCACGGACACGCTCATCGCCCACACGCATGGTCTTGATGGCGTCCCATGCCTCCTTTGCCGTCGCCTTCACGGCAAGAGTGGAGAGCATCTCCGGTGGCACGGCTCGCAAAATTGCCGCTAGCGCCACCCTATCCTCGCTAAAGCTCCCGCCACCCTCGACAGCGTCCCACACGCCTTGGGCCTCCATGTTCACCTTCATGATGAGCGCCCACTCGAAATAGTTCGTCGCCGTCAACGTCGGGTAGACAACGGTGCTGTTGGCCTGGTGGACGACACGCTGCTGTACCACCACCTCACGGCCGCCTCGTCGTGTCGGGCTCCGTCCACGACGTACCGGAGAGCGTGACGGAGTACGCAAACCTTTATCGGCCATGGCTCTGATACCAAATGTTGGATTTGCTAAGCTAACGGAAGAAGATAAGCTTAATATTTGATCTAAATTAATGCATGCGTATGAACTGAACGTAAGATAAAAAAGGAAGCATTCACGTAGTCTTTTTTTTTTTGTGCTCAAAGCCAACTTAGCTTTGACACACACTTTTCCATTTATAAACTAACATACGTACATGCAGGTAGTTACATCCATAACCCACTAGGCACTTACCCACTACATGTCTACATACGCACAGTACTAACGTAATGCGGAGTACTAAACTAACATACGTATATGGGGTAACATGCATGCCTAACTAATAACATAATGTAATACTAAATGCAACTTAACTAATTGACCCAAATTAGACTAACACTAATGTAACGGCACATACGCACATTAGTACCGCTACAATACATGCACGGTGTCACGCGACGCACACAACTTGGCATGACTCATCCCGCCGTGCACTAACACTCTAGTCTAAAATGCATCAATGACTCCAAATAAACTAAATTAAACATGACGAAATTATAAACAACAAGATTAACTCCAACATATATGCATGTGTACGCACTTCATATATATATATATATATATGCATGTGTACGCACTTCATAAATTATACTACCGTATCAATAGTTCATATTGATATACTACGTATTATAATAAAGTGTTATATTAAAGATTTGAGCTATTCTTCCTATCAAGTTGATTTTTAGATGGAACCGGTGTTAACAAATTAACGCCATTATATGTATACTTTACAAAAGGAATTACGTACTCCGTATGAAATTTATAGCCTTCAAAAGAATATGTATACTCGGTAGTAAAAAAAATGATATCATTGGAAAATGTTTAACAGTAATTGACTTGAAAATTTGAAGTGAAAGATATATGCATGGAAATTAATAAATAAAAATAAAGGTTTAATGGATGAATTGAAGGTGGTACTACTCGTTCCGAATGTTTTAGTATATGGAATTTTCGGTTAATAAAAGTAGTGCTTAATGGGTTACAGGAAGCTGTTGGGCATTTTCTGCTGTTGCGGCGGTGGAGGGCATACACGCAATATCAACGGGGAACCTAATTTCACTCTCTGAACAACAACTGATAGATTGCAACACCATGAATATGAGTTGCAAGAACGGAGGAAATATGGGCCAAGCTTTCGAGTTTATCATCAATAACAATGGTCTCACAGATGATCACAACTACCCATATACGGGAGTAAACGGGACCGGCTGCCGCAGCAAAATCTCGCCGGCCATAAAGGCAGCGGCATGGATCACAGGCTACAAAAGCGTTCCGATTAATGACGAGATGGCTTTGTTACAGGCCGTGGCTAACCAGCCGGTCTCCGTCGTAATTCAGGCAGGCCAAAAGGCGTTCCAGTTCTATCGCAAAGGCGTGTTCTCCGGCAGCTGCGGATACAACCTTGATCACGGCGTCACGATCGTCGGGTATGGGAAAACTGTGGAGGGCAGGGAGTATTGGGTGGTGAAGAACTCATGGGGGCTTGGATGGGGTGAAGAGGGCTACGCTAGAATGGCAAGAGGCGTTTCTGACCCGAGGGGACTCTGTGGCCTTGCCATGGCTCCTTCCTATCCAACTGTGGCGGCTTAATTACCTTCTTTTTTTTTCGGAATTATTTCATGTGCCTATTTATTTTGTTTGACAAATGGCTGGTACCATGGTGCGTGCTTAATTGGTATTACATGTGTTTTTGTTTTTGTTCCTTTATTTTGTTTGCAAGAATGCTCATTTCTAAAGCTAGTTACGCTATGGCAACATATATAATAACATTTTGCAACATTGGACTTTTTGCACTATTCACATCTTCTACTTTGACTACATTTTATTAATTGATGTATAATAAATTAAATTTTTAAAAAATATTGTTAAATTCTCCCCATTCTAAAATTTCAAAATACGAATTTTTTAAAATTTTTACATATAAGAAATGAAACATATTAATGGTCAAAAAACAAATTAAAAATCAATCTCTTTGTTCGTTAAATGTTTTTGAACCACCACCAACACAAAATATTTTTGTTGAAGAGGAAACTAAAAAATTTTCAATTTTTAATAAAATAAAAATTGAGCCAAAAAAATCTATTTTGAAAGGAGAAGAACTGAAAAAGTCACCTAAGTGCAAGGTAAAACCACCTACTGTTGAGTTGGAAACAAAGAAGAAAATTTGGTCTTACTGGAAAAGGCCGAGAAAGAAAGATGAAATATGGCCAAACATGGCCTTTGAAAACGAAACAAGGGATGTTCACGATCCCACTTAAAACAGAAAACAAAATAAAAATAACGTCGTGCCGCGACATTAAATCAAGCGCTTCTTGGGAGGCAACCCAAGTTTTGTATTTTGATTAATTATTTTGAGTGTGTGAGTGAGAAACCCTTTTCCAAAAAAAAAAAAAAAACTTCCATACACAGAACCCGGCCGGGTATAAAACTTCACCCGGTCGGTCCCCTTCATAAAACACAGAACCCGCCAAATCACCCGGCCGGGCATGTTCATTAGAAACATTCTGGATAAGCGGGAGTTAGGCCCGACCGGGTCAACTTACCCCATCCGGCCGGGTCGTCACACATTCTTTCACAGACTGAGCTGGCCATCCTTTTCCTCACTTCCTCTTCTGCAAACACGAACCAAACTCCGCCAAAACACCATTTTCAAACTCCATACATTTGAATCTTCTCCATTTCTACACCAAATCCATAAAAAAAAACCATCCTCTTCATCTTCTCTTCACCCTCTACACCCACCAAAACACCCATAAACCACCAAAAATCCAAATCACCTTACTCCACAAACAACAAAAGCCGAAATCTCCTCACCCAAAAAGAAAGAAATGACACCAAAAAGGGCAAAGAGATTCATTCTCTTGGACATCTCGGACACAAGCACTAGGGACAGTGCTTTGATTAGCTTGGGGGGAGAATTTCATGGAAAACTCACATTCATACTCTATATTCTTGTATTTATTTTCAAAAAAAAAAAAGCTTGTTAAGTTGAAAACCTGAAAAGGCAACTTAAGCAAAAATAAGGCAAAAATAAGAGTGAGTTGTGAGGATAAAAACAGAAAAATGTGGGAAGCTGGGATGAAAACCCGAAAGGGCACCTAGACAAAACGAGAGAATGAGAGAAAGTATTTTCTTTTATTTCTGCAGGATCCTAAGGGTAACAATGAAAAAAAATTGAGGTTGATAAAAAAAAATGTGGAGTGGAAGACCCCTCTTTACTCTTATATTTTTGAGGATATTTTTTGTGTTGTTCTACAAACACACGTGGATGTTGGTGTTGATACTCTTGTCATTTTAAGGACTTCTTGGGCTGGATTTTGTTTACTCGAGACGAGTAAAGGTTCAAGTGTGGGGGTGTTTGATATGCACTAATTAGTAGTGCATAAGTGTATGTTTTTATGTTTGATTTGTGCGGTTTGTTTACCGTTTTATTTAGTTTGTAAACATTTGTGTGATTTTAGTTGTAATTGTATTTTAATCTTCATTTGTAAGTTGTAAAGTAGAGTTAGGAATTAGGGTGTTGAAAAGGAGGACTTTGAAGTGAAGAAAAATAAGATTTGGCTGCCCAGAAGCAAAAACCCGACCGGGTACAATACTTCACCCGGTCGGGCATGACAAAGAATCAGAAACTGCTGAGAAAGTCACTAGACCCGGGCGGGTCACTTATTTGACCCGGTCGGGTCAGATGTGACCCGGAACACCAGAACATGCCGAAGATCGCCAGAACGTGGGAAATATTTGATTTTGACGTTGACCCGGTCGGGTATGTCCTTTTACCCGGGCGGGTCAATGCCCCAGGGTATTGAAAACACCTATAAATAACCCCATTTTCCTTCACAAAGGATAATCTCTTCTTCCATACTCTTAAGCTCAGTTTAGAATAGTATTTCTTTTATATTTTTATAGCATGTTTAGTCTCCAAATGAGGAGCTAAACTTCCATATCTTGGTGTTGCTCTTGAAGCTTGTTGATTATTAAAGCTGTGAGTTATTTTCTTAACTTCTTTCCTTGAATATTAATTCTTTCTTTAAATACTATTTCTATATCAATGTTGGGGAGTGTTACTAAGATGATAATTAGTTAACATCTTGACATTAGTTATAGTAATGGTTATTTCTTCCTCTATGTTAATATTGGGGAGTGTTACTAAGATGACAATTAGGATTCATCTTCTTTAATATTCTTCCTTGAGTATTAATTCTTCCCTTAATCTATCTCTATATTAATGTTGGGGAGTGTTGCTAAGATGACAATTAGTTAACATCTCGACATTAATTACTACTAGAGACGATCAACGAACCGATGGTTAATCATTGATGGTTTCACAAGTAAGTAACTTCGGTTTATTAATGCACGGTCGTGGTTAATAAACTTAAGAGGGATTAATTTTATTGGTTAAACCAAAACCGTTGTGTTGAGGTTATCAATCTCAATTGATTTCATCAAAGAGTTAAGCGATTAAATGCTACTATCAAGTCGGTATATGGCGGTGTTCTATACTTGGCTAATAGTAAGGGTTATTAATGAACGGTCGTTGTTAATAACTATCCTCGATGAATTGGATATACTCCTCGATTGAGTATTCGAGAGGAGATAAGTTATAGATATAACAATGATCGACTAAAATATATCAACAAGTGGAAAGTAGCAATGCCAAGTCCTTTTTATCTTTGAATTAAATCTCATATAAGTCGTTCATCTTTGTGTTAAATTAAATTAAATCATTCAACTCAAAACCCCCATTTTATTTACTAGTTACATAAAAAGAGAATTGTTTCCATTCCCTGTGGATACAAACTCTACTTCACCTATACTACGTATAAGTGTTAGTATTGAAATTTATTTTGAGTGCACACACGACAAAGTGCACGTCAACTTCCCTTATAAGGGTTTAAAAATTTCTATAAGTGGAGAAGTGGACTAAGTTAAAAAATAAAACACAATATGTAAGTGGATATGGCATTTAATATTTGCATTCTAAAGTGGTAAACATATTAAATTCAACAACGGTTACAATTTTACAATACCAAAATGCCCTTGGTAATTGTTGAGATCATCGTAGCATCTTATGTATTTTGGACAGTTGTGATGTGTTCTCACTTCTCACATTAAGGTTTGTTCGCAAATATTTATTGAACAAAGTGGATATTAAATGACTAAAAGTGCACTCTTGAGTGTTAAAAATGATTGCCAATTTTTTTGAACTTGTGCACATTTTATGATGTACCGTTATGCATTTTTTTGCTCTACATGTACACTTTTTGCATGTTCTTGTACACTTTTTGTGTATCATTTTTATTAATAATTCTTCATAATTACCAAAAATGTCACCGCGTTTTTCACTTAAAATTTGATCTCTTCCATCCATTTTTTCATATCAATGGCCAAGATTAGTTCTTACTTTTCACCTAGGAAGCACTTTTTATTTGATCCATACTCTATACACACACACACACACATATGGACAATGTTCAAGTAAGGTAGGCCTAAGAATTGTAATTCTTAGGCCTCTTTCATTTGACGTGCTTCCGAGTCGAATTTTTAATGACATTTTGTGAGCATGTTCTCCATGAATTGTAGATTATGTCAATCAAGTTTCACAATAAAATTCAATTGGGAAGTCAGTTAAATAAATTATTGGAAAAAAATTGCATTTTATATATATAAAAACCTGCGCAAGTTTGAAAAAATTATTTAACCGACTTTCCGAATAAATTTTAATCTGAAATTTGGTGGGCATAGTCTATACTTCATGGAGAACATACTCACAAAATTTCATAAAAAAAATTCGACCAGGAAGCACCTCAAACGAAAGAGGCCTAAGAATTACAATTCTTAGGCCTACCTTACTTGAACATTTTCCTCTCTCTCTCTCTCTCTCTATATATATATATATATATATATATATATATCTCTACAATTATATAAGCATGAATAATGTTAGGGATATAACGGTCATAGAAAAAATGTTGGTGTCACTTTATGCATTAAACAATTGTACTCCGTGCTTACTTCACCGCTCAGTTGCTAGGAAAGGAGTGAAGGAACCCTTCCGTTTACGCACGATGGTATTCTCCCCCGTTAGTTTGACATCTAAGAGATTCATTCTATACTCTAAAGTCCATCCATTTTCTCCAGGTCACCTCCGTTAATATCACCTCTGAGACCATCCAATATTTCCCCAGTCTCTTAAGCTCACTATGGATACGATAAGGCAGATGGTCTTGATTCTGCAGCGACCGGTCGATGGAAAGAAACACCGCGCAGCCTTCTGCGTCATTTGCGACTCCTAGGTATGGCAAATATGGAACTTCAAGAGGGCGCCAACGATTGCAGCACGAAATTAATCATGTCTTCCCGTAAGTAATTTGGAATAGTTGTATCTCCCCCTTTATGGATGGTGGCCGGAGAACCTACCAGTGCAGATTTTTAGCCTTGCAATTCTTGGTCAATTTTTTTTGTTTATAGAATGAATGTGGTGCTCTAAGCAAAATGCAGATTACAAGTAAGATTCTTTCGACCTGAACAAACTCTATGTGTTCATTGCATATTCCCAGATTGAAAAAAGAAATTGGATGATCGAGCTTTTACCATCTCTAATCAGTTAAACAATCTTTATTGGATCTTTGGTGCTTATGAAGTACTTTGTATAATTCTTTGAAAACAAACAATGCATTTCTAAAAAAAGATTTCTTAGTGTTGGGTATTTGCGATACGAGGTAATCTACTGTTAGGTTCCTTAGTTTAACAAGTTGCTGGTGTGGATATTTATAACAACATAGAGTTTTGAATTCAATGTTGGGCAGTTGAGGAAAATTAGAGTTTGTTTGGAGAGTCCATTCTGTTTGTAAAAACATTTAAGTGAGACAAACCTGTCAAGAGGTGTTCAATTAAGCATTATGTACAACATGAGCTACTAATAACAAGTGCTTCTTGGTGGTAGTGTTTCTTCCAGAAAGAGAGGTGGAGATGCATCTGGGTCCAATGATTGAGTTCATACCCAACTCATGACTGAAGTAGATGTCATGACAACAAAGAACACCATTTTTATTATTGCAGCTAAAACTAGACCTGATATTGGAGTTGGAGCACATTGATAGGTTAGTGCCTTATAATAATAAGTCTATACATCAATCCTATTCCTATACGCAGCAATGAGCAATAAGGTTTTGAAATTTTAAGGTTCTAATATAACCCTTACAAAACCAGATGGTGACTTCTCAGTCTCAGTCCGATGATTCCACTCATCGATGAATCCATGTTGATTGTGTGAACTTATTTTAATTGAACCCTCATATTCTATGTTAATGATTTCAATTAGGTTTTGTTAAGATTGTTTTGTACCTATGTCTTAAGTGCATTTATTTGGCACAAGCAATGCATTTGCCCGTGTTTTATATAACTTTTCTTATTCCTTGGAGGAAAGAATAACTAAAATATATAATGTCTCGATTCCTATTTACAGTCACTTAGCAAAAGCCAATATTGGATAGTGGCCAATATTAAAATTATGTGAACATTCAATTTTGTGATAGAAGACCGGTGACCAAAACTGTATGTGACAGAGAACGAAGTGCAAGAGGCTGAACAGAAAAACCCGAAGTGGAGACCCCTGATGTTAATTGATTAATTAGCCATAGACTATTGGATTTTGGTTCACTAAACTGTCTGCGCTTTTTCTGTCATTTGCAATTGAGCCAAAGATTCACTATTTTTTGTCTTAAAATATGATTGAATAAAGCAATGGTTCACTAAACTATGTGTGCTTCTTTGTTATGAAGAAGCAGTCAGTCCATTCAATTTTCGACGAGATTTTCAATTTGAGTCATTTGGAAACAGTATCTCTGTACTTTAGTACAGAAGTAAGGCTGCGTACATCCGACCCCCTTACCCCACCTTAGGTGGGAGCCTTTTCATGTTTATAAAATTGGTCACATTTTTTTGTGTTCCCTTCATAAAGTTAATTTTAATTTATTTTATAATTTTGTAAATAACAAACTACGTATTCAATACTCCCTCCGGTTTTTAATAAACTTCACACTTTACTTTTTGGGACGGTCTAAAATAAACTTCACACTTCCTTATTTCCTTTTTTGGCAAAGAAATTTACATCAAAACAGTGCCAAACAGTGCCTCAACAGTGTACTATACAGTAAAGTCATATTCCTTTCCTTATTTTGTGCCAAGTCAAAGAGTGAAGTTTAATAAAAACCGGAGGGAGTATAATGTATTGATATTACTCATATATTCACTCAACCCGAACCGAAGAATTAATGTTCATACAATGGCGTTGGGCATTACCACGAACGCGCAACGCGCGTTACTAAACTAGTATATATATATATATATATATATATATATATATATATATATATATATATATATATATATATATAGATATAGATATATATATAGCAAAAGAAATATAAATACATTAATAGCGAAAGAATGGAAGACCCAAAGTATCAATTCTGAGTGCTTCCTGTACTTGGGCCGGTAGTGCGTCATGGGTCCAAAATGTAAGTAAACCACCTTCCTTAGTTGAGTGACGGTTGTTGGTCCCAAATTTCAGGATGAATGAACAGCTATGAACGATCTACAATAATATAGAGAAGGATTCTTAATAATGATCGAGAGATAATCTGAACAGAAGAAATCCTTACGCTATACTATCGAGAAATATAGAATGAAACTCTGAATGAAAGACGCTGTATATTTCTAATTCTCGATTGTTCTGTCCTGTACCACATGTACGCATATTTATAGGCGTAGGTACAGGTACCGAAATGGTAACCTAGAGCTCTGGGCCTAAGGCCTTTTTGGGCCCTATTCCCTTAGCTCATTTATTCTTTACATACATACTATAAAGGATAAGTCTAATCTAATTGGGATAACAAGACTCTAGACAAACTTGATCACAACAAATATTTTCCTCAACAATCTCCTCCTTTGTGATCAAGTGCCGTCTTGCTTCTTCTTCTCTTCACTGTTGAGCTTTATAATAATTCTTCCTGAGATTAAGCGCATGCTCATAGTTTCTGAGTGAATCTCTTCTATCAAGTTGTCTCTGGATAGCCTGTAGAATATTGTCAATTCTATGTGCCTCTTTCAATTCAGCATCTGTGGCATCTGCATACTTCTGCTGCTTCTCTTTAAATGCTTCTCTGATAGGTTGCAGTTTCTCCTTCACGATCTTCAGTGTTCCATCGCAATATTTGTTTATCTCATCAATGAATAACAAACGCTTCTCACCATTATGATTTAGATAGATGAGCGTGATGGGTCTGTCAAAAATGTAGTAGGCAGGAAAGTCCTCAAGTTCCGGTCCATACAGCTTTGGTCTTGTGAGGTTTGTCTTTGGAATGTTTGTTTCAAGAGCCATCTGAAGATCATGAGAGGCAAAGAATTTGACTTGTCTGATCATAAAGCGCTTGAGTGCATCCAGCCCATTTTGTGTAGTTTTGTCACGAATGCCTGGAATTTCCTGGAATGCAAGATACATCTGATAGATGTCATCCATTTTTAGCATGTAGAGATCATTTTCCTTGCATGTGAATTCTGTTCCGTCAGAGCGCTGTAGATGGTAGACAGAGAGTCTGATATCTTGAAGATCTGTTTCGGCCACGTTGAGAATAGCCCAGACTGGGTCCTTGGCAGTTTGAAGTTCATGTTGCCAGATTTCTCTCTGTTTTCCCATATAGTGATGACTAAGTAGAAACAGCTGTCCACCCTTGTTTTGTCCTCATAGATGGTTGAGACCACGGATTTTTAGTTCGTCCAGTTCTCTGACCTTATCCTCTTTTCGCCAGATGTTTTCTCTGATTTCCTCTTGAAAGGGAGCGTTGATGTCGATCTTTTCCCAGGGCTTCTCATTTCTGGGCATTTGAGCCGCCGTTTGTCTAATGATTGACTCAAGCTCCTTGGGTGGTGTCTCGTAGTTCTCTCCCTCCTTGAGTTCATCTTGATCAAGTAGAATCACATCAGTAGCACAGTTGACTAAGAGGTCTCTGAGGTATGCTCTTCGCTGTGATTCATCTACATCTGTCCAGAGTTCAGACCATTTGTTGTGCACTAGCATTTCCTCAAGTTCATCGTGCATTCTGACCTTGTAGTAGCTGGAAGGATCCTGTTGCTGCTGTAGTGACATGTCGGGCGTAGCATCGGGATCCTGGTGAGACTTGCAGGGATCCTCAATTATCTCAACACGATGCTCTTGCGCAGAGATCAGACCTCTATACTTTGTTACATGCGGCCAATCCTCCCTTGGCTGAAACTGGGTGAATCCGGGATCACTAGGATTGCCCGTTGACATCAGTTTCGAACTAGGTTCTAGCTGGTGGCCTGAGTAGAAAGATGTACTCGTGGTAGCATCATCAGGACTTCCATTCCGTCCTTGGTCAACATCTATAGGAGATGCACCTCGGGATGTTATGTCTAGCTCGACCATGCTAGAAAGAGTGGCTAGGGATTTATGGCTAGCTGAAGTAGTGGGTTGCTCATTGGTAGAGGTAGAGGGTTGGTTTGGTTTTGAGGGTTGGCTAGTAGAAGCAACATGCTCAAGTATCCGCTGGCGCTTGGGTTTGGTCGTTGTAGGGGGGGATACTAGTTCTGTATCCTGGGTTCCCCTTGATGTAGATGGTTGTTGGTTTCCTAGGGTTAAAGGTTGGGAAATTGGGATTAGAGTAGTTGGGGGCTGTATGGTTAGGGGTGCAGTTGGCACATCTTGAACAGCTGGGGTGCTTCCAGAGCCTTGTGCACTAGCGGTTATTGCTGTATGCACCCATGGTTTAATAGTAGACTCCAGAAAGCTGTTCAAGTGTACGAGAAGATCTTTGGGGATAATGGTTCCAGTTACAGGGGTCGTAACTGTTGTCACAGCATCAGTGAAGATAGCTGATGTGTGGCCTGCGTTCAATGATCGAGGCATTGTTGGCGTAGCAGGACTTCCGACCATCATAGTTTGCACTCCGGTCGTTGCATTCAGGGTGAGTGCACCTGTATGTGCAGTGAATAGTGTAGGTGTCCTAGAAAAATTTAAAAATGTGGGAATGGTGACACCTAGACTCGAAGTGATTGAACGAATGGGGGTAGTGGTCCGGGGCTGTTGACCACTAAGTCTCTCAGCAGATTCAGAAGGAATCAGTGAGGTCGGTGTAAGTTCCCCTTGAGTTATTGAAACTCCAGTCTGTTGGGAGACTGGAGAGTGGATGGGAGATGGCTGTGCATGCGCAGTTGAACCGGATGCTGCGACTTCTACCCGGGAACTGACAAGGTCAGCTCCTGCTCCTAGGGGCGTGGTTCGGTCTATGGTGACAAAGGTGTCGCAGTCATCGTACAGTGCCAGCTCCTCCTCCACTGCACTCTTCTTTCTCAGCCTCTTCTTAGGCTTGGATGATGCAGACTTATCACTTTTCTGCTTTGAGCGCTGCTCATTTATGACTATGCCTTTGAGCGGTCGGGATGTGAGAGCAGCCTCTATGTCTTCTGATGAGGAGTCGGAGTCGATTCGGATGGCCTTCTTTCCGGCTCTTTTCTTGTTGCTGATCAGGACTCCCTCCATATCATCATCATCACTATCTGCATCATCATCATTATCATCATCATCATCATCATTCCTCTCCTTTCCCTTGGCCATGCTATCAGAGGCCTCACCACCAGCCTTATTAGAAGGGGCCTGGCTTGATGGTTCATCGGCAGTGTCCTCAGCATTTGTAGGGTGGCCCTCAGCAGTCTGGGTCCTCTCGGAAGAGTTAGCAGACTGATCATCATTAGGCCGGGTTGCCACTGGTTTCTGTGGCGGGGCTCTCTTTTTCTTCTTACCTTCACTTGGCTTGGTCCCCTGGGAAGGTCTAGCTGGGTTTTGCTGAACCATAGGGACCGTTCTCTTCAGCGACTCTTTGTAGTCAATGACTGCCTTGTCCTTCGGGTTTGCTAGATTGAGCAGAGAATCCGGGATTGGCAGTGCTTCAGCTTTATTGTTGTCTCTCTGAAAGTACTTGAGCTTTGGGACGGTAAAATGCTTGTCCTCCTTACGCTTTGGCATTGTCGGGGTGGCCTCCATAATGTTGTGGATGATCAGTGCCAGCCACCGAGCGTAAGGGATCGTGTTGCCCTTATGATTCTCCTTCATCTTCACTTGATCCATCAGCTCCGTCCAGAAGAGCTGATCCATGTCATACTGCTTGTCAAACGCAATCCCGTGGAAGATTTGTAGGATCTGCTTGTTGCACTTGTCATGTCCGGCGTGCTTTGGAGATAGACATTTGTTCACCAGGCCGAACAGATTCTTCCACGGATGGGGCAGATTGGAGATAGTGAAATTTGACAGCAGGGGCAGTGGGCTGTCGTATCCAAGATCTTTCATCCCCTTGATTAGCTCTTCATTGGAAGGCAGGGGTACGTAGTTCTGTAGGACCGGGAGTTTCAGTGTCTCCCTGATTGTGGAGGGTGTGAGCACCACTCTCTTGTCGTTCAGCTTGGTCATGATTTTTGACCGGTCCTTTTCATTAGGTGTCCGCATTGAGCCCCAGAACTGCTGGAGATACACCTCTGGCACTGGCTTGGCTTCACTGAAAGCAGTCCAGAGGTAGTGCTTCTGTAGGATGGAGAGAATGACTGGGTCCTGACATTTGAAGAGTTTCAGGTCTAGTTGAAAATTGTTGTCATAGATTGGGACCCAGTTCTCCTTGGAGTAGACATCATCACTTGATTGTGCATTCCGGTCTGTTCCTGACATTGTTGACTGAAAGAATTGGGTCAGCACATTGTTCAATTGAAAAGTTTCTTTTTGGTTCTGTTTTTGGAATTTTTCAGATCAGGTGTGAATAGGTGAATTTCTCGAAAAAAATTTTTAAGTGCAAACCACGAGAACCAGCTTCTCGAGGTTTGAGCATCGAGAAGTAGGTTCTCGAGGTTTAAATACCGAGAAGCTCTTCTCGATATTCAAACATCGAGAACTTGGTTCTCGATATGAGAATATCGAAAAGTCCTTTTCGATATGTAAACTTCAAGAACTTCTTTTCTCGATATTTTAAATGTCGAGAACTACTTGTCATTATATTTAACTTCGAGAAGCAGGTTCTCGATAGTAAACATCGAAAAATTCCTTTTCGAGGTTTAATATCGAGAACTCGATTTCGAATTAAAGACATCGAGAAGTATGTTCTTGAATTCAAAACATCAAAAACTAGAATTCCTCGAGTTCGCACTCAGAGTTATGTCGAGAACCACCTGCAAATACACATTTCAATAATGATAACACCAAAAAAAACTTTTCGATGTCAAATTTCCGGTTTCGAGAAAGATGGTTCTCGAGGTTCAAGGACGAGAAATTCCTTTCAAGTTTTCATTCGAGAACCGGTGCATTATGTGCGAAAACCTTTTTAGAAATGATGTTGATGATCGAGAACCGCAAAATCTACCTTTAAGATTTGGAAAAATTTGTGAGAAAGAGGCTTGGACTTCGAGAACTTCAAAACTTGCGAGAAAATTTGAGTTATGCGAGAAACTTGGTTCTCTGGTTCTCGAAGTCGTTTTTATATGTGAGAGATCAATTTGTTCGGGCCTTGCGAGAGGTTATCTGGGCCCAAAAGATTTGGCTGGGCCCGGATCTGTTTTAAAACTGTTTTGGGCCCCAAAAAAACTTTATTTATGTACAGTCCAAAAAAAAAAACTCCCCCTCAAATGTTGCATGAGGAAGAAAATAAAAGGACCTACACACTCTTTTCCTTTCTTTTCTGATTTTCTCACTCAAACACACACACACTCCTTTTTTATTATCTCACTCAAACACATTCTTTTTCTTATTTTCTGATTTTTACACACACCACACACACACTCTTTTTCTGACTTTTCTTCTTTTTCTCCCCCTCAAAGTATTCTTCCCTCTTTTATTTTCTCCCTTTTTCTCCCCCTCAACACATGCAACGCACACAACACACACACACATTTTATTCAGACCAGCGGGAGATACATAATTACACAGGCTCGAGATTCAACATGCCTAACTTAGATACCAAGAACTGAAATCGCTTTTCGTCCAGTGCCTTAGTAAATAAGTCAGCTAATTGAAACTCTGTGCTTACAAAATATAGATCGACATCTCCTTTTTCCACATGGTCTTTTATGAAGTGATAACGCAGATCGATGTGCTTGGTGCGTGAGTGATGAACGGGGTTGCTGGTTATGGCGATTGCACTCTGGGAGTCACTGTAGATCGGGATGTGATTGAAAGTGAAGCCGTAGTCCTTGAGCTGAGTTCTCATCCAAATGATTTGTGAACAACAACTAGCAGCCGCAACATATTCTGCTTCAGCTGTAGATGTAGACACACAATTTTGCTTCTTGGAGGACCAGCAGACTAGCTTTTCTCCTAAGAATTGAGCACTTCCCGATGTACTCTTCCGATCCATCCGACAACCAGCAAAGTCTGCATCAGTATATCCAATGAGGTCAAAACCTGAATTCTTGGGATACCAAAGGCCCAAATTGACTGTGCCCTTCAAGTATCTCAAGATCCTTTTTACTGCAGAGAGGTGAGATTCTTTGGGATTTGCTTGAAAGCGCGCACATAAGCATGTTGAGAACATAATGTCAGGTCTGCTTGAGGTAAGATATAACAGCGATCCAATGATAGCCCGATAATGAGTAGCGTCAACTGGTTTCCCTGTGGGGTCCGAGTCAAGCTTATTGTTGGGGGACATAGGCGTTCTCATGGATGCAGTACTTTCAACATTGAATCTCTTTAGCATGTCCAGGATGTATTTTGATTGATTGATGAAGATTCCATCCGGCAGCTGTCTCACTTGCAGCCTGAGAAAGAAGTTTAACTCTCCCATCATGCTCATTTCAAACTTTGTTCTCATCAATTCTTCAAATTGCTTGCATAGATCAGGATTGGAGGAGGCAAAGATGATATCATCAACGTAGATTTGAATCAGAAGAATATCATTCTCTTGACGCTTGATGAACAGTGTTGTATCAATCCTTCCTTTTGAGAAGCTTGATTCTGTTAAGAAATTTGTCAAGGCATCATACCAGGCTCTCGGTGCTTGCTTCAATCCATACAGTGCTTTATTCAGTTTATACACATGATCAGGGAACTTTGGATCTACAAATCCTTCAGGCTGAGCGACATAGACTTCTTCAGTAAGAATACCATTCAGAAAAGCTGTTTTCACATCCATTTGATAGACTGTGAATTTCTTGTGTGCCGTGTATGCAAGAAAGAGACGGATTGCTTCAATTCTTGCTACGGGTGCAAATGTCTCATTGTAGTCTATGCCCTCTTGTTGATTGTATCCCTTGGCAACCAACCTTGCCTTGTTTCTCACAATGACACCGTCTTCATCCCGCTTGTTTTTGAACACCCACTTCGTGCCAATAATGGTTTTCTTCTGTGGTTTAGGCACGAGTGTCCATACGTTCATTCGGCTGAATTGATTAAGTTCATCTTGCATAGCAATCACCCAATCAGGATCTGTCAATGCTTCCACGACCTTTGATGGTTCAGACTGACTAATAAAGCAGGAGAAAAGGCATTCATTGGCTGTTGCTGTTCTGGTGCAAACTCCACGACTCGGATCTCCAATAATTTGTTCAACAGGATGTGCCTTCGTCCACTTCCGCTCATGTGTTAGAGGGATTGGAGTTATGATGGGGTGATCCGGGTCCTCAAAGATATCAGATGTGGCTTGTTGCGGTGTAGAGTGCACTGATTCAGTAGGAGTCGGTTCTTGTGTTTCTGGTGAAGTTGGTGTTGGTGTTGATGCCGATGCTTGTGTTGCTTCTGTGAGATGATCTTCTGAATCCTCATGATCAGATTGAGAGGAAGTGTCTCCTTCATTTTCAGTAAGATCAAGCATAAGTGGCATTGTAGTAGTGGGCTCTGTTTGTGTTTCTGTTCCTTGCTGTGGACTTGTGTTACGTGGATTTTCATAAAAATGTTCAAAGAGAGAATCTAGAAACACACGTTTAGTAGATGTTTGCTCAGTCGCTTCAGCTCCGTCAGGTATTTGGTGTTCAGAAAGAGTGGGTTCTGTGAAGAAGTGTTCAGAAGCAAAATCTGCCATTTCATAGAATGCAACATGTACACTCTCTATGACAGTTCGTCGATCTCTTAAGTAGATTCTGTAAGCTTTGGATTGCGTCGAGTAGCCAATAAACACACCTTCTTTGGCTTTTGGATCGAGCTTGCTTGTTTCACTTCTATCATTCAAAACAAAGCACTTGCAGCCAAAAACTCTGAAAAAGGATATATCAGGAGTTCTGTTGAAGAGAATCTCATAAGGAGTCTTGTTAAAGCGCTTGTGAATGAATGTTCTGTTCTGAGTGAAGCACGCAGTATTGATGGCTTCTGCCCACATGAAGTGAGGAAGCTTTGACTGTATGAGCATGGTGCGTGCTGCTTCAACAAGAGTTCGATTCTTTCTTTCAACCACTCTGTTTTGTTGAGGAGTCTTTGCCGCAGAGAATTGTTGAGTGATACCCTGAGATTCAAAGAAATCAGTAAGGTGCTGATTTTTGAACTCGGTACCATTGTCTGTCCTTATCACTTGTACACTCTTCCGAAGGAAATTTTGAATTGTCTTGATGAAGGTTATGATGGTTTTTACTGCTTCATCCTTTGTCCTCAAGAATTTTGTCCATGTGTACCGAGAGGAGTCATCCACAATGACTAGAGTATATTTTCGTCCATTGATGCTTTGTACTCTCATTGGTCCACACAGATCCATATGGAGCAATTGTAAAGATTGTGAGGAGGATGGGACTTGTTTGGACTTGTGAGAGCTCCTTACCATCTTGCCTAATGTACAGGCACCACAATGGTTGTCAGCGGAAGTCTTCAGAGTAGGCAGCCCTTTCACAAGTTTCTTCTTGGATAGAAAGATCAGATGTTTAAAGTTCAGATGAGATAGGCGTCTGTGCCACAGGCTATTTTGTTCAGAGGAAGCTTTGGACAACAGACATATGGAAGAAGTTGTTTGAACACTTTTCAGATCAATAGTGTACAGGTTTGATGTCCTGTTACACGTTAATAATGTCTTTCCATAGCTATCTATCACACAACACTGTCTTGATTTGAACTTCACTTCCATCCCGCTATCACAAAACTGTCCAATGCTTAACAAATTGTGCTTCAGTCCTTTCACGTAGGAGACAGCCCTTATGGTGACACTCAGACAGATGACATCTCCGTATCCAAGAATAGGAGACGATGCGTTGTTACCAAATCTCACATTTCCTCCGTAACACGATGTGTAGTTGCTCAGTAGATGTCTTATTCCGGTCATGTGGGTTGAGCATCCAGAATCTAAGTGCCACACATGACCATTCTGCAAAACAATTAAGTTTTCTTAGGTACCCACCGTAGGATGGGTCCTTCCTTATTAATCAGAAACAATTTTTTAAATTTTTCTTTGAGCTGTGATCCAAGGTCAACAGCTTTCTCAGTCAAGGTTTGAACTTTTTCTTTTTCAGATTCAGATTTGGGCATCCATTTTCGTTTGATTGAGGGAGGAGATGAGACGTGATCACTGTGAGTGAATGGATGTTGATTAAGATATGGCTTAAAAATTTCTTCTTTAGAGAGTCTTTTCAGATGTTTCTTTGAATGAATCTTGAGGGGATATTTTAAGTGCAAAAAGTCATAATAACCCATAACAGATT